TGGGTTGAAACCATCTGATGGAAGATCCAGGTCAAGGTAGGAACTTCATCTCGAGAACACATAAGGTAAACCCATGAAAAACGAGTATAGTCATCAACAAACAACAAGAAATATCTATATCCCCCCATAGTAGTGATATGATATGTGGTCCCCAAGCATCAGTATGCACAATTTCAAAAGGAACACTACTTTTATTGCTCAAAAGATAGGTTGTTCTACAATGCTTTGCAAGTTCACAACTTTCACATTTCAAACTAGACATCTAAACTGACTCAAACAAACTAGGAAACAAACTCTTCAAAGACCTAAAGTCTTCAAGTGAGAAGAAATTTTATGTGGGCTGAAACAGCTTATGAGATTTGGGGACAAGCAAACTCAACCTATTCTGAATTGTGCCACTATGCAAAGATCTATCAATTACAAGCAGAATCATCTACTTGCAAACAGAGGGAAAGGAGTCTATCTGTGTACTGTTCAGACTTGACCTCCATCTAGAAGGAGTTAGATCACTATCAGAGTGTGAACTGGAAGTGTGATGAAGATGCAAAAGCATACAAGTCCCTTGTTTCCCAACAGCGTGTATTTGCATTTCTCCATGGATTGAACCCCGTGTATGAATCCATTAGAGTCCAGATCCTAGGCAGCAAGGATCTTCCATCTGTCCAAGAGATATATGCATTAGAAAAGTAGAGGAAAGTACAAGAAATTTGATGAATAATTCTGGGGGGGATGCAGTTGTGTTGGCAGCAAAAGGAAATGTGGTTACGAGTGGGGGAAATCCCTTTAAGAAGGGGGACTTTCAAAAAATGGTGGATGAGAAAGAAAAACTGTGGTGCACCCATTGCCAAAAGTCTCGACATACCCATGATACATGTTAGGAACTTCATGGGAAGCCAAAATGCGCTCAGGAATTGAGTAAGAAACAAGGTTCAGATCTGAATAAGAATCAAGACAGCAAGGTCCGACAAAGCTCACTACAGCAAACATGGCTACTTAGGAGAATCAGCCCCCTACTACTACTGTAACTCAGATACACACCATTGATTCTGACCCTAGGGAGGATATCATTAATTCCTTTCGTGACCATTTAGAACTCTATGGTAGGGCAATTCGTCAGATGGATGCTCCTCCTCCCCCAACCTCATTTGTGTCTACATCAGGTAATTTTGCCACAACTTTCCATGTATCATCTCATTCCCCTGACTCTCCTTGGATAATTGATTCTAGAGCGTCAAAACATATGACCGGTAAGTCCACTTACTTTTAGACCTGTCATCTTCTCTCTGGAAGAGACAAGGTGAGACTTGCTGATGGGTCATACACTACCATAACTAGTCAAGGAACCATTTCTCTTCCCTTTGGTCTTACCCTTTCTAATGTTTTACATATTCCAAAATTCCCTATTAGTAGTATCACTAATTCATTAAATTGCTTTGTGACCTTTTTCCCTTCTTATTGTGTGATCCAGGATTTGGCATCGAGGAAGACGATTGTTAAAGGACATATGGTGGATGGACTCTACATGCTGGAGAATAAGGCTAGTCACAGAGTCTAAGAGTCAATCCTGTAAGAGTAAGGTTTATTTATGGCACAGTCATCTTGGTCATTTATCTTTTGAGTCTTTGAAATTGGTATTCCCAGAGTTTTTTAAGTCAATATCTGAATCAGAGTTTATGTGTCAAACGTGTCAATTGATTAAACATTGTAAAACTCTTTTTTCTTCAAAAATAATAAATCTGAATTTCCTTTCCATATTGCTCACTCTGATGTTTGGGGCCATGTTACTTTACCATCTGAGAGTGGCTACAAGTATTTTATCACCTTTATTGATGATTACTCCAGATACACATGGGTATCCCATGCAAACTAGGGATCAAATACCAAAAATTATCCAAACTTTCCAACGAATGATCTTCACCCAATTTCAAATTGAAATCCAAGTCTTCCAATCCAATAATGCCAAAGAATACTTTCATAATGATCTCACAGAGTTCTTTGCTTGCATGAATCACTTCACTGTAGCTCATGTGCCCGAACACCCCCAACAAAATGGTGTTGTTGAAAGAAAAAACCGACATCTTCTTGAAGTGGCTAGGGGGTTACTGATTCATATGAATGTCCCAAAACGTTTTTGGCTTGAGGTTGTCCTTTGTATTGCTTATCTCATTAATTGTATGCCCTCTCGCTAGTTAGAGTGCAAAGCCCCACATCAGCTCCTTTTTCCCAAAGCTCCTTTCAATTCTTCCACGTATGTTTGGTTATCATTGCTTGTTCAAAACCTATGACCCACCCGTGGAAAATTGGATTCTCATGCTATTCCTTGCATCTTCTTGGGGTACTCCACAACTCAGAAGCGGTACCAGTGCTTTAATCCAGTCTATCGGAAATATTACATTTCTATGAATGTCTCTTTCTTTGAGAGTGAGCCTTTCTTCCCTGTTTCTTCTCAGGGGGAGTGTAGGAATGAGGAAAAACAGGTTCAGCTCCCTCCTCTTCCTGGTCCTCCTCCCTTTCGTGTTTACTTTCGTCGTCACAAAGGCCAACCATGTTCAAGAGTTTTGGAACACCTAAAAGTTGTACCACCAATGCCATCAAATTCTCTTGGGGTGGATCCTACCCAACCAAGTACCTTGGTTCCTTGATGTTTCTGACCCTATTGCTATTAATACATCCATTGTTGATGATCTTGACCTTCCTATTACTCACCAGAAGGGTGTTAGGTCTTGCACCACTAAACATCCCATTTCCCATTTTGTTTCCTATAAGAACATTTCACCTTCCTTCTGAGCCTTTCTTTCTTCCATTGACAATGTTCATATTCCTAAGAATGTGGCAGAAGCTTTGTTGGTGCCTGAATGAACAGATGTAATGAAGGAAGAAATTAATGCTTTGAATAAAAAATGGTACATAGGAATTGGTGGATCTTCCTAAGGGGAAGGAACCAATTGGATGTAAATGGGTTTTTGCAGTAAAACATAGGGTTGATGGCACAATGGAGTGGTATAAAGCTCGTTTAGTGGCAAAAGGGTTTACACAAGTGTATGGAGTGGATTATGCAGAAACCTTTGCACCAATTGCTAAGATGAACTCCATTAAGAGTCATTTTCTCTTTAGCCACTAATCTTGATTGGGACCTTCATCAACTAGATATCATGAATGCATTTATAAATAGTAATCTTGAAGAAGAAGTGTACATGGTACAACCCCCTAGTTTTCGAGCTCAAGGTTATGAACAGAAAGTATGTAGATTAAAAAAGTCATTATATGGCTTGAAACAATCACCAAAAGCCTAGTTCAACAGGTTTCATGTAGCTCAACAAAGAGGCTACAAGCAGTGGCAATCTAATCACACATTGTTTGTGAAAAGAGGGGAAGGAAAAATTGCAACCCTGATAGTGTATGTTGATGATATAGTTATCACTAGTGATTGGAAAAATGAAATTCAAAAGTTGAAAGGATTTCTTACTATTCAGTTTGAGGTGAAAGATCTAGGTCCTTTAAGGTACTTCCTTGGAAAAAATCTTCATTTCCTAGAGAAAGTATGTCTTAGATCTACTCCAAGATACAAAAAAATTGGGAGTGAAACCTATTGATTCTCCCATTGATCCTAATAACAAATTAGGTGATTGCAACTTTGCAAGGTGAATTCATCAAAGATGTGAAACAATTTCAGAGGCTTGTAGGAATATTACTATATCTATCCATGACTCAGCCAGACATTGCTTATGTAGTGGATGTTCTTAGTCAAATCATGCATGCCCATAAGACCACCCATCTTGAAGCAACTGAAAGAATCCTCAGATATCTTAAGAAATTTCCAGGTGCATTTGAAGGTTGAAGTGTATACCAATGTCGATTAGGCAGGATCCCTGAGTGATAGGAAATCTACAAGCGGCTACTATACTTTTGTAGGAGGGAACCTAGTCACATGGAAAAGCAAAAAACAGAATGTGGTGGCTAGGTCCAGTGCTAAAGCTGAATATAGGGCAATGTCTCATGGAGTGGCCAAAATTATGTGGCTAAAAAACTTGTTGAGTGAGTTGGGATTTGCAGTTGATGAACATATGACCTTATATTGTGATAACAAAGCAGCCATAAACATTGTTGCTAATCCAATGTTGCATGATAGAACTAAACACATCAAAGTCGACAAACATTTTATCAAAGAAAAGGTTGTTAAGGGAGAAGCATGTGTCAATTTTGAATACCAACTTGCAGACATCTTCACAAAGGGGTTACATCACTTGCGACATCATGATTTATGTGACAAGTTGGGCATGATTGATATCTATGTCCCAACTTGAAGAGGAGTGTTAAAAGTCTGTTAGTATACTCAAATTAGTACCACAGGGGTATTGTTGTAATTTCTCCCTTTCTTTTATTTGTTTATGTCGCCCTAATATAAATATACTAAAAGCTAGCACTGCCTGCCTAACTTTTTGGCTCTCAAATCTTTTTCTCTCTTCCTTCTCTTCTTCTTCTCATCTTTTGGACAATAAAAACATTCCCTCACCTCCACCCCAAGAGGTTTGACCGTCACCCTTCTCCTTGCCCCTTAGGCTATGTTTGGTTTGAAAGAAAAGGTAGGGAAAGGAAGGGAAAGGCAGGGAAACCTACCTGCCTTTCCCTACCTTTCCCTACTATTTCCTACAAACCAAACGCAGCCTTAAATCTTCATTATAGCAACATCCTCCTCAATACATAATATAGCTAACAATGGCATACCCTTTGTCTCATACATTATACATGCAAATATCAGCAATGAAAAATTTTCCAACTTAAGGACTAGTATTTCTTTTTCATGAGCCCCTCCTTTAGACGGGTAGAAGAAAAACTATTGTAAATAAAAGAAATCTTGAGAAAAAGAAAGTGAAAAAGAGAAGAGACACTAAAGTACAAATTGAGTCATGTGAAACCCTCTAGCATTTTGGAAAAGAAACATAAAATCAAAAATACAGAATACAAAGAAAATTTGGAATTTCTTTTCCAGGAAGTTTTACCGTAAACTTGTAATATTCAAGTTCGGACTCAAGAGATTTAATTCTAGCTTCATGAGATTCTATCATCTGCAGACAACCAGAGCCCATCATGATTATCATCAATGTCGTAATTAGTATAGCAGTAGCAGGTGCAATAAAAAAATACTTTTTTTATGAAAGAATCCATGAAATACAAACTGACCGTTTGATCAACAACAACAATTGGTGGTGGATAAAGCAATATGATTTCTTTTAATGTACACCTCCTATTGCATTGAGGACACTGTAAAAAAACAAAGTTTAAGTGAAAAGATAACAGGAAGCAATTGTATCTCTTCTAGAAATAAGATAAAAATTAACAGAGTACTATTCAGACAGAAAGTACCTTCCCATAATGTCTTCCACATTGTCGAATCCATTGTTCAATGCATGACTTACCATAGACATGTCCACAAGGAAGACAACTGCAATTCTTGAAATGTGATAACCATGTAAAAAAATGAATGCTACAGAAGTAATGAAACTGGGAATGAAAATTAATTGTGTTCAAGCTTCTTACTGGTCAAAATGTTAAATTCAAGCAATTAGCAATAAATACATGCTTTAAGTGGACCTATCAACTTCAACCTCGATTTTGCAGAGAACTTCAACAATGAATAATTAACGTAACAAAACACAAGCAGATTTTACATAGTTTGGCATCAAAGCCTACATCCAGAGGAGCAAATCAAGCTTGTACTTCATTATAGCAGAGAACAAAAAACAATGAATGATTTCCTGTAGTTTTTATGCAAAACCCTAGACCCTTACAAGGTTCTCTTTCAGAACCATTGAAGAACCTCTATTCTATACCATCATTACCTTTTTTCAACTAAATGGCCATTTAGTTCATATGTGGGAACAAATAACTAGTTTCCACTCATAGATGTAAGAGTGCTTCTGAAAAACCTTACAACCATAAGATTCGAAGTCAGTCCAATGGTAATCTTATTTAACTCAAGTTTTTTTCAGGCAACCGAAGAGGCATGGTAGAGTCATGTGGAGAGCAACAAGAGAAGATGTTCTCTGGTCAGTTTGGGAAAAAAAAGAAATAACAAAATCTTCAATGGAGTGGAGAAATCTACGGAGGAAACTATTGAAAGAATATCCATCAGGGTCACACATTGGCAAATGTTTCGAATGCTGCTACAGTAACCCGAACCAAAAAGAGAAGGAAGAAGAGGAAGAAGAAGAAGAAGAAAGAAAATAAGGGTCTGTCGAAATCTGATGGACCACCCATACAGTCGACCCCCTTAATCTTTATTAGATTCTAATGACCTTTACAAAGACTAAACTACCCTTCCTTAAGTGTGGGGCAAAGTGTCTCTAATAAAACTGCCACATAAGCAAACTACTTAACAAACATAAGATGACTAAACTACCCCAATTCGGCTCACTTTAACACTCCCCCTCAAACTGGAGAATATATGTCATATAATCCCAGCGTGTTACATAAATAGTTCACTTTCCCAGAGCTTAGAGCTTTTGTAAACAAATCTGTCCACTGATCATTCGAGCCCACATGTTCTATATTTATCTCTCCAGCAAAAACCTTCTCCCTCACAAAGTGGCAATCAACCTCTATGTGCTTTGTTCTCTCATGAAAGACAGGGTTAGAAGAGATATGGAGTGCAGCTTGGTTGTCACAGTACAATCTCTTAGGTTTATCCATGTGAAACCCAATTTCTTGTAGGAGATTCCTCAACCACACTAATTCACAGGTAGTCTGTGCCATGGCCCTATACTCGGCTTCAGCACTGCTTCTGGCACAACCATCTGCTTTTTACTCTTCCATGTCACAAGATTTTCTCCAAGAAATGTGCAATAGCCTGTAGTAGATCTTCTGTCATTCACTGAGCCTGCCCAGTCTGCATCTGTATACCCAACTACTTCCAGTTTTCTTCCTAATCTATACAATAGCCCATGGCCTGGAGCTCCTTTCATATACCTTACAATTCTAAGAACTGCATCCCAGTGAGGTATACAAGGGTTCTGCATGAATTGGCTCACCACACTGACTGCAAAAGAGATGTCGGGTCTCGTGATAGTCAGATAGTTCAGCTTTCCCACTAGTCATCTATACCTTCCAAGATCTTCAAATACTTCTCCTGTATCACTGTTCAACTTAACATTTGGTTCCATAGGGGTCTCAGCCGGTTTTGCACCTAACAATCCTGTTTCTTCCAGTAGATCAAAAACATATTTCCTTTGGCACAGATTTACACCTCGTTTTGACCTAGCAACTTCTATTCCCAAGAAATACTTTAATGTTCCAAGGTCTTTTGTTTGAAAATGATTTTGCAGAAATACCTTTGCCAATCCCCAATTTATCACTGCCAGAAATGACAATATCATCCACATAGACCACTAATAAAATATTCCCAGCTTTTGAATCATAATTGAACACTGAGTGATCAACCTGGCATTGCTTCATTCCAAAACTCTTCACCACTTCGTTGAACTTCCTGAACCAAGCATGTGGTGATTGCTTCAACCCATAAATTGCCTTCTTCAGCTTGCACACCTTACCATCCTCCCCCTGAACAACAAACCCAGGTGGTTGCTCCATATATACCTCCTCCACCAGATCACCATGGAGGAGGCATTTTTTATGTCAAGCAAAAACAGAGGCCAATCATACATAACTGCCAGGGAAATTAGTACATGAACAGAACCAATTTTAGCCACTGGAGAGAACGTCTCCATATAGTTCACTCCATACAACTGTGAATAACTTTTAGCAACAAGTCTGGCCTTCAGACGCTCCACACTACCATCTGGCAAGTATTTCACAATATACACCCATTTACAGCCCACAGCATGCTTACCAGGTGGGAGAGTAGTAAATTCCCACGTTTGAGTATGTTGAAGAGCAGAAAGTTCCTCCTCCATTGCCCGCCGCCATCCAAGAGAACTAAGAGCTTCTTGAACATTGTTAGGTATGGAAATTGAGGACAAAAGTGAAACAAACTGGCGATGTGAGGTAAAAAGACGAGATAATGAAACAAAATTGAAAATAAAATGGAGGGTAGAACTGCGTTTACCTTTCCGCAAGGCAATGGGTAGGTCAAGTTCTGAAGGTTCAGCAATAGGAGCCATGAGGGGATCCGCAGATGAGGTAGAAGCTGGGGGAGGGGCCGGTGTCGTTCGACATGTATACACTTGTCGGATCGGTGGTCGTTCGGTGGTGATCTGCACTGAATGAGGTGATGAGTCTACTCCAACAACAGCATCAGCAACTGGATCACTGGCAGGAAGAGGAAGATGAAGGGTGGAGAACAAGGTGCTTCAGGACTTGAGAAAAAGGGTACAGACTCAAAAAAGGTGACATCAGGGCAGACATAGCACTTTCGGGTAATGGGATTATAACACTTGTACCCTTTTTTGAGTCCGAGAGTAGTCAAGGAAGACACATTTAATTGAGCGTGCATCTACCTTGTCTATTCCAGGACTCAGATTGTGGACAAAGCACACACAACCAAAGACACGAGGAGTTAATGGAAATGGAGATAAAGTGGGAAACAAAATAAAGAAGGGGGACCGATCATGAAGAATGAAAGAGGGCATCCGATTAATGAGGAAACATGCAATAAATACAGCATCACTCCAAAACCGTTTAGGAACATTCATGTGGTGAAGCATAGACCGAGCAGTTTCAAGAAGCTGACGGTTCTTCCGTTCAGCTACCACATTTTGTTGAGGGGTGAATGCACATGAGGTCTGATGAATAATGCCATGTTGTTCTAAATACTGTTGAAATGAAGTAAGAAAGTATTCACGACCATTATCTGAACGAAAAACTTTGATTGGAACACCAAATTGTGTGCGTATTTCAGCATGGAATTTTTGAAAAATGGAAAATAATTTACTTCTTTCT